GCGCGCTGCAAGGTTTAGCGGAGATGCTCCAAAGTCTCCGCTCTCTCACGAGTGATCTCGGAGCAGATTTAACCGGACCGAGGCTCCTGAGCCAGCCTTGCCGCGGTCCCGAGTCCCCGGCGGGGAAAAAAACCGGCTGTGCGCTGGGGGAGGATGTAACGCGGCCGCTGCTTCCTTTAGAGATCCTTTACGGAACTGAGAGTTTGCTTTACCCGTATCGGAAGCTGAAATAATGTGTGGGGGTGTGTTTCAAACCGTGAATTGGAAACTATTACTACAGGATATTAAAGCAATAGTGTTATTTTGGGTGCCATCAATTTTCACGTCACTTTGCAAAGTAAAGAAAACTTTTTTCCCTTGCTTTACCAAAGAGATCTTTGTGAGTCTATAACAGGCTTTTTGCACAGAATGCAGGTTTAAGTTTCAAAAATTATCCAACCATCTGTGGCTATCTTAAAATACTTTCTTTTCCCTCCTCTATTTATAGAAAGCAACTGAAATAGCAGTGGAAGGTTAGGGGGGGAAAAATCAAGTCTTTTCATAACACTAAGAGAAAACAGATAGAAAGGCTTCTTCCTATGGGAAGTAAAGAATTTCAGACATCAAGGGTGCATGAAGCTGAGACTGGTCCGTTTCATGAGCCACCACCGGGAAGTCCGCGGAGAGTGGTACCGTTGGCCAACTCCTCCCAGCAGTGCCAGGAGCGAAGGTGCTGCCCAGCAATCTCGTGGCCTTGGCACGCGCTCAGTGCGTGCTCAGGTTTCCTAGCAACATCAGAGCAGTTCCGTTGTGCTCTGAGTCCTGGGGCTCTCATGGCTGGGCGGTGGAACATCCAGTGTTTCTCCTGCTGGGCTGGCTCTGGAGATGGTTGGGTGGGAGCAGGGATGACGTGTCTGAAATTAAACAGTTACTGCTGGGAAAGGATCGGGACCTTTAACAAACGGTCACCGAGCGTCTCTCCCCTGATTGCAAGGCAGTGTTTTTACTGGCACTTGAATACAGCACTGGGATGCATTCGGTGCATTTTTTAAACAGTGGTTCTGTTACCAGACGTAGAAAGTGTGACCAGAGGGCTCTGAGCACTCCAACCAGCACATTCCAAGCCTAATGATTCATGCTTATGGTTTAAAACCGAGGCTGCAGGTTTGAAGTGCAGCTGCACATTAGTCCTTTTTTTGCAATTGCCTTGCTGTGTTGTTTTTTTAAACTTGAGGGAAGGGCTTGAGGTAGTAATGACAAGTAATAAATGAGGTCACTGGATCTGACGCTTATTTGAGCTGACAGAGCAGAATGGTGTTGCATAGCTGGCAGATTAGCAGCTCTCTATGAGATAATAGTTCTTTAGGGATTGATACCTGCTGGTAACTGCTGCTTTTATTTACCTAATGTGGATTCTAGGTGAGTTCAGGCAGGTGGGGGAGTTTGGTACTGATTGATGTCCAACTGCATACAAACCAACAATTGTAAGATTGTTTAAGCTGATTACACAGGCTTTGGGCACTGCTCCATCCCTGGAGTCTACCTATTGAGATGCCATTCTACGAGTTCCTCTGTCTTGAGCTGGGTGATAAGCAGTTCTTCTTCCTTTTCCCATGGAAAGCAGGTAAACTCAGGGTGGATTTTTCATTTCAGCCTTGTTACACAATAGGAACTGTACATCACTTCTGGGGTAGCCACAGCAGGGATGGCAACTTGCCATGTATGTCACTATTTAAGCAGGACTCAGGTATTTGCATCTTGGTGAGTGTAATGAGGGCAGTAGAACAGAACTGAAGAGTAACATCATACATCTTCTTACACAGCTGAGCTCAGGGTTTTTAACAAGTGGAGGGAAAAAAAGCTTTTAACACAAGTATCTCCCTTCCTGCAGAGGAATCTCTCTTGCACCACATTTCTTGTTTTGGACTGAAGGGTGGTACTTCCCACTGCATTGGGCTGTAGAACGTTTCAGTGTCTGTTTTCAGGGAGCAGGTCAGCTATTTGTATGTTTTCATGGAATCAGGCCCATTCAGTCTAGAATATCATTTCTGGAAAATGCTTGAGGGGATAAGGTTGAATTTCTACTGAAAGAGCTTGTGGGTTACTTCCCTTGTCCTAAGGGGAAGAGTGGTGAAGCAAACATCGATAAAATGTAGATAAGACTTGTGTTTGCTCTGCTGTCTCTCTGCAAAATCACGCAAGGGCTAAGGTGTGCAGAGGAGGTGGAACTGGGAGCAGGTACTGTGCTGCTCCTGCCCAGCCCCACCAGTGCCAAATGAACTCACTCCCCACAGTTCTGTGAACACGTGTTCATCTTGGTCTGAGGAACTGTCTTCTCAGTGTTGTCAATTTAGCTTGTTGCTGTTTAAAGAGAAGTATTTAATGGTGGTAATTAATAATGTTCCTGGCGAATCAAGAGCAATAGCTCCCCTGTGTTCCTTGCTGCTTTTCTTTGAATTTTGATAGGATTTGGGGTAACTGTTTCATCGTTTTACTATACAGATGGCTTCATTTTTGTTGTGTGGGTGTTTCTTGTGCCAGCCAGAGAAAGACTGAATGATATTTTTAACAGGAAAACAAAAAAGAGTTGGCACAGGGCTCAGGGAGGAAGGAGGATGTTTTGAGTGCCTTCCCATCTTTAAATTAGCTGGATTTTAATATGCAGTTGTTAAAATTCATCTTAAACAACAACAGACACACACAGGTCTTGGAACTTCCTGACATAACACAATATAGCAGTTTTCTTCTTGAAAAAAAAATACACTAATGTGGGGACTCTAGAGGTGTTGCTAGGGAGTATCTGTAATATTTGGAGTTGAAGGCCAAACAAAATACACAATTACTGCTACAATATTGTCCTTTTGAGGCCTGAGTGGCTTTTCCTGTTGGTCTTCCCACTCCTGCCTTATCCCTAATCCAACCCTTTCCCTCAATCAGAGCAGTAGTACTCTTTGATCTACTCTGTTAGGCATGCAACGTTTCATGGTGCTTAGAAAGCTTTGGAAACAAGGAAATTTTTTTTTTTTTTTGTTTTAAATCCAGACTTAACAGAAAACTGAAGTGAAATGTAGCCACTAGAGGCTTGACCCCTAAATTGTTTTGGGTATTTGGTTTAATCTTGAGGTGATACATAGCTACCTGACTGCCCCTTTCTGAACCAGGGTTCTGGTCTCAGGCTCCCTTAGCAATCCACATTGTCACAGGAGATGCAGAAAATCTGTCTGAGATGTGGTCTGCAGGGTCAGAGAGTGAAATTTCTCTTTGTACACTGAGAATGCTCAGATAGAAACACTGCAGCCTTTGGTCTTTAAAAACCAAAACAGCTTCTTTTACTCCTGTTTTGTATTTTAGTTCTATTGGGCATAAAAACTGTGAGAGTAGTTAAAGTCACATAATAGACACATAACACTTATACCCAATCCTCCAGCTGAGCCTAAAACTGTCTTATTTAATTTTGTCCCTGGGTATTTGTAGAAGAATATCCTTTACCTGCTCCCTGTGTGAGTCTTTTGAGAAGGAAAGACTTCAGGAGATGGATGTTTGTGTCTGACAAGGGTTGTAAAATAGAAGGCCATTCCTTTCCTTTCTGTTTTCTTCTTTCCAAGCTGGACAGTAAGAACAGGAAAGGATTTTTGGTGCCCAGCAGTCCTGAACTCTCTTAGCCGCAGCTGTGGCACTGCAGAATTGAAGCTGGGAGTTATCTCCTCCTCCTCTCCACCCCTCTCCTCCTCCCAGCCTCGGGTTCCGCTGGCTCTGGGCTGAGCGGTGCGAGGCCAGCTGGCTGCTCCTCTGACTGGTGCACCGCTGCGCGGCAGCCTGGGACTGCAGGGTGTTTTGGGGGAGTTGGGATTCAATGGCCACCCTGACTAGCGAGAAGCAAGGACTGCTCATATGGACAGCTCGATTTTATCTTGTGCAGACTCGGCTTTGTAGTGGGATGTTGAAATATGACACAATGCCTGTTTGTTTGCAATAGCTGCAACCCTCGTAGCAGAGATTCAAGTGGGAAACAGAGGGGGAGTCCAGAGAGAAACCAGCGAGGGATTTAGGAACTCTGACGCCGTGTCCTTTCTCCTGTGCCGGAGCAAGCAAAAGGAAAGAGAGGTAGAGGAAAAAAAGACTTGCACCAGCCATCATCCTGACGATGTGTCAGTCAAACACCCTGCAGGGACCAGATCTGCACACAGGGAAATGGTGAGATGCTATAAAGCTTTATCTAACCCTCCACCCTCTTGCTACAACCTCCGCAAAGTTAAAATCCATGTCCGGAGGCTGCGTTCAGGGAACGGCGGCAGCAGCAGCTGTGCCGGGGACCAGCACCCACACCTGGAGAGCACGGGCCCGGCAGGCTCTGCCGGGGGCACAGCAAGTAGGAGATCTCGTTTCAGGTACTGTTGGGTGTTTTCTGCTCTGCAGGAATGGTGACTGAAGGGAGAGAGGCGGGAGGGAGGTTGGGAGGGTTTCTGGGCAGAAGGAGCAGGAGCCATCTGCGAAGCTTTTGTTTGCCCTAATTACTATAAAGCTCCTTATGCACTGGCAGAGAAGGGCAATGCTGTTCTGTGACAAGGGGAATGGGGAGGCTTTCGTTCCTTTCCTTTCTACTCTCCATTACTAGGAGAATGGAAAAATGAGTTGAGGGGCCGCTCTGAAACCAGGCCAAGGCAGTGAGAAGCCCGAGGGCTCCGGAGCGATGCAGCTCTGCAGGGATTGGTCCAGGAGCGACTGCAGTGAAGGGGGGGAGAGCAGCGGGAGGGGGAGTGGGACCCAGCCCGGAGCCGCCAGCCCTTGCAGGCTGCTGGGTGGAAAGGATGGGAGGAAGAATTTGAAGTGTCCCTTTCCTATTCCCATGTGGAGTCAGTCCCACCCCCTGCTGAGAAGCCAGCTTTACCTCTCTGCTGAGACTGCACTTCTCAGTGCTGCTCTTTTTATCCCCTGCATTATGATGCACAGATCATTCTCTGTTATTAATTCTCGGGGGGAAAGAAGTTGTGTTCACTGCAGAAAAAAAGTCTCTGAGCCAAAGGCACTATCTTGCATCCCAAAGTGGTGACGGTTGTACCTGCCTGGCTGATCCTGTAATTCTGATCCAAGTTTTGAAAAGAACATGTTGGCAAGAAAATTTCCTTTATAAATTCTCAGCTTCTTTCCATCTTGGAAAGACATCCACAGCATTTTGTAGGTGGCAGAATCCCTCGAGGGAGTGAGCTGTTGGGAGCAGCCAGAGTATACAGAGCACCTGAGTGTGTGTGCACATTGCTGTGTCCCCAGCAGCTGGTGGGGAACAGTCTCTTAGCTAAGAGTTTAGGCAGCCCCAGATTTGAACAGTTTGCCCTCAGGTAGGCAGACTTCCATTTGATAATGTGACCTTGGAAGTGCCAAAGGTTTCTTCAGGAGTAGAAACCAAAGAATAAATGGGTACCTGAAGGGTCTTTCACTTAGACCTCTTGCAGAGGTCTGAACTGGGGCCCACGATGTCCTCTGCTAATAAGCTGAGTAGCTTTTCTCTCTGAGAGTTATAAGTTCAACCATTTGCACAAAATGAGATTATTCTCAGTCAGGACATCCGTGTGGCAAAAGGAATCACAGGTGCAGTTGGTTATGAGGCACAGGAGTTGGTTTATTGGGCTATGCAGACTAAATTGTCCTGCAGCACTAGCAATATTGGCTTTGTCCACATGTTCTCTGTTCAGAACCAGGGTACCCAGTGAAGGTTTTAAGACGTGGAAAGATGTCTTTTGGAGTCAGGTATTTCTATTAACCAGCTCAGGAGTGCCACTCCTGTTGTTTTCACAAGTACTTGTTTCCCAAAGTTAGTGAATGACCAAAAGGTCTGTAAATTTGACTCCAACATCCTTTGTACAAAATACAACTTGAGGAACAATCTAATCAAGGTGCCTTCAACACATGAACCCTCTGAGGCACCTCAGTTCATAAGGTTTCAAAGATTTCTTTCAGAGTATCTGTTCTTTTCCCTGAATTTGTCCCTTTATTCAAGTCCGAGCATCACAGGTATTCCCAGCTTGCAGAGTAGTGTCTGCTGTCCACTTTGGCTATCCAGCAGCTGGAGCAGGCACAAGAAATGTGCTCTGGGGAAGCACTTTTGTGCTTTGTTATTTCCACTGTAAACTCCCATGTTATGTTATTAGATGGATGAACCACCTGTGACTGTTTTCAAGTGTCACCTGCAAGTGGTCTTGCCTTTAATTTCTGAGGGCATCATTCACACAGTGTGACCTGTGACAGTGAACATAGTTTTCTGGACAGAGGATTTTTCTTCTTTTGTGGGTTGTTTGTTTGGGGTTTTTTTTAGATAATCTGTTTTTCTATTTCAGAAAGGGGAAGAAGTGATCAAAATAAAAGAGTAAAGCCTTGCAGAATCAATGTTTAAGTACCATGTAGCAGGAATAACTCATCCCCAGCTGTCAGAAGCTGGTGGCTCTGAAGCTGAGATGCCTAACCTGACCCTCTGATGTTGTGTATGTAATCTTTCAGGTTGCAATTTCCCCAGCTGGCCCTGAGGCGAAGGTTGGGCCAGCTAAGCTGTATGTCTAGGCCTGCTCTGAAACTCCGTTCTTGGCCTCTGACTATTCTCTATTATCTTCTGCCTTTCGGTGCTCTTAAGCCCTTGACCAGAGTGGGATGGAGGTCTATGAGCAGGGTAAGTGTGAGCAGGTCTCTGCGCTTCGTGGCTCTTAGCTTTGGTACTGAAGGAGGTGGAGCAGCTGGGTGGAGAGTTCCTTAATACAGGACAGGCTGATGGTCACTGGTGTGAAAACAGAGAGATGCAATTCCTGTTTCTGCTTAGTTTTTACTGCTCATAGTTGCGTTGACTAATTGCTTCACAGATAAGTGACTTTCTCGGTAGCAGAGAATTTCTTTGTCCTCTAGCAGTCAGGGGTCTACATCAACAGATAGAATCAAACATCTGAAAATCAGCAGAAACTTCTGAATGAATCTGGTCACCTCACAGTATCAGGGCTAGGCCAAAGCAGACAAACCTTGTCTCGAGTTCCCTTTCCTGGACACATCGGAATGGTCTCTTGGTTTCTGTTATTTTTGCACAGAGAGGGTTTGTTCCTCTATTTCCTTGAGCATTTGTAATCCAGCCAGTCCAGATGATAAGCAAATGTCTGCTCTGACTCTGTGGAGAGCAGGGTGTGGGATGCCTTGCACATGGTTATTCTCCCCCCCCACAAATGCAATTTCAGAATGCAAAAACCACACAAATATTTTGATTAAAAGCAGTAACAAAATTGCCATTCTTAAGTCTATTTCAGTGAACAGCTGTTGTGTTTGATCCCATCAGTTTGAAAAACAGGCTGTTTTGAAGGGAGGGGCTACTAGGAAATACCACTTTGGACAATTGGTGTGATTTTATAGCTGTATCTGCATATCCTCCTTGCTGGTAGAAAATAGCTAACACTGTATAAGACATGTCAAATAAAATGGCAACACTTTTTTTCTTCAATACTTCAGCTTATATAACCTAAGGTACTGTTCATTTAGAAGTTTTTTTCTGAAGTAAGATTAGGTTGGTATTTTCTCACTGAAATATCACTGAATGTACGTGGGATGGTGATTTGTAAGTGAAATCTTAATTTGCTGTATTTGATATGATGGACAGGCTCTGAGCCAGTATGTGCTTTCTGTGTTTATGGCTGTGTTTTGCAAGATGTAATTACGAAGGATATGATTAACATTGAGAATAAATGATGACTCACTTAGAAAAAAGCCAACAGCTTTTAGCTGTGAGGTGAACGTAGCTGAGCTGTGCTGCTCAAAAACATGGCACCAGGGTCAGCAGATCACTTCTGCAAAACTGGTTTCAGAGTGTTCAGTTCCCTTGGTTCACACCCCTCAGCTCCCCACAATTACATCATGGTCGTGTGAGCTTTTTGGCTGGTAGGAAGTACCACAAACCCCATAAGAGTTGTTTGCTGGAATTACCGACAGGAAGATGCTGTCATCTGTCCACTTAGATCAACAACACAAAGCTGTTGCCAACTTCATCTGTTTTCCTTGCTACTAAAACTCAGTCTTTGGTGTAGGTCTGGAGGTGTATTCCTACAGAAATACAGGCAATTTATACTCTTGCAATTGGCAACTCCCATTGTTGTGGGAGGAGTAATGCTGGTGTGAGTTTATACTGGTGTAGCTGCATCCACACGGGCACGTTTCTTCGATGGTACTAGTGTACTCATTAGATACAACATATACAGTACTGGGATGTGGGAAACACCCTCAGTAGTAAATGCATCTGAGGAGCACATCATCAAACACTGAGAAATTGTTTTTCAGTCAGTTTTCATTTGGATGTTCACAAAAATTAATACACTGGTAATGTTGAATCTTTCTGAGGAGCTTTCTCCTAGACTACGTGAAGTGTCTCTTTTTTTTCTGTAAGCATCATATGGGCAGTTTCTAGCAACTTGAATGTGAACCTTCAGCCTGCAAGGGAGGGGAAATTTTGGCTTCAGTATAAGGTTATAATAAGTTTCATCCTGTCCCTTATCTGCTCTCACCAGACTGGAGGGAGTGAGGATAAAGCGCAGTGTTAATTTTTTGCTGACTTAAAGGCTACTTGGTGTGTGGTATAACCCACTGAATTCAAGGGAGGGCTTAGCAGGAGCAGTTTGATCCTTTCTCTGTTAGAAGAAAGGAAACTCTGAGTGGGGAGAACTGAGTGATGTGGTGCTATTCTTCCTTCAGGTCGCTCTGTACAAGTCAGTACCGACTCGGCTGCTGTCGCGAGCATGGGGTCGCCTGAACCAGGTGGAGCTGCCCACGTGGCTCAGGAAGCCTGTTTACAGCCTGTACATCTGGACATTTGGGGTGAACATGAAGGAAGCAGCTGTGGAAGACCTGCATCACTACAGGAACCTCAGCGAATTCTTCCGCAGGAAGCTGAAGCCACAGGCACGGCCTGTGTGCTGCGTGCACAGCGTGGTGAGTGAGTGAGGGAAGCCTTGCACAGCACCCAGAGGAACTGCACTGCTGCATGAGGAGTGAGCCAGTCAGCTGCTAACATGTTTCACGTTTTTCTCTTCACTGTAGATTAGTCCCTCTGATGGAAAGATCCTTAACTTTGGACAGGTGAAAAACTGTGAGGTGGAGCAAGTAAAAGGAGTTACTTATTCTCTGGAATCTTTCTTGGGCCCTCATGTCTCCACTGAGGAATTGCATTTCAGTCGGGGTGAGTTCTGTGTTAGTTTTGCATTTATTCTGCTCTGCCCTTTCATTGTTCTTGGAGATCATGAGAAGTTATTTTTTTCCCCCCTTCTCTTTTGTGCGTTGTCAGGAACAAAAGCAGGTCTGACTTTTGTTTTATTTGGGGATAAACATCTCACTGCTCTAGTTCTTCTCTTTCCCACTGGTGGCTTTAGTGTCTTGCCTGGCTCATTTTGCTTATCTGAATTTAATTGCTTGGTTCCTGCACTTGACTTGACTCCAAGATCTCCAGTGGGGCTGTAGTACTCCTGCTGTCACACTGAAATGTGCCCAAGCACCTGGACAGCAAAAACTGTATAAACTACTCCTTAGCAAGATTTATGCTCAAGCAGTTACCCCTCCACCAGCTTTAAGAACAGAATTTGTGAAGACTCCTCTAAGGGGCTGCTTTGAGGAAAAATTCTGTTCTTAAAGTGCAGATTTAATAAAAATTCTGTTTCACCAGATTTCAGTTTCTGCCCTTTTGTTTAGGGAAGGGCAAAATCCAAAAGAAAGGAATTTCCACAGTTATTAAAACAATATGGAATCTAATTCTGTTGTAAAGGGTTTTGAACACAAACCCTGGATTGCTGGATGAAGTCTATCTTTTGTAGCCTCACCAATACCTGAGCTGCATTTAATCCTCTGCTATTGCACTGGTTCTAGTGTGCCAGATGAAGAGTATCTTTAACCTCTTCCTTTCCCTGGTCTCTCTGTAGTCCCACCTGGTAACTCTTTCCAGCAACAGCTAGTCACCAAGGAGGGGAATGAGCTCTACCACTGTGTGATCTACCTTGCACCAGGGGATTATCACTGCTTCCACTCCCCCACGGACTGGAGAGTGTCACACCGGCGGCATTTCCCAGGTGGGTTCTGTTCCTAGAAAACTGCTGCAGAGCAGCTGTGGAGGGAAGCTCTGGCATGGGCCACTGCTGGATGAGACACACCAGTGCAGCAGTTGGACAGTCGTGTGATAGATAATGGCAGAAGTGTGATTTGTCACACTTTAGCACTGTCTAGTTTACCAGAACAAATCACACATAAATGGTGAGAACAGTAATATTGTATTCAAGCTGTTTGAGTTCCTTGAAGTAACTGTTGGTGTTTTCAAACAGTTTGTTCAGTTTGCACTTGAAGTACAGATAGTTCTGCAGATCACACCAAACAGGAGCCTGCAGTGTGATCTCTGCTTGTGCTTGGCAAAGAAAATGCAACTAAAGTTACACTGCTGGAGCTGGGATCAGATGTTTTTGTCCTCCTCTTTGCAGATCATCATACTTTAGTTCAGCAGATAACAAAAATATTTTAATTCTTGATACCCTAAACCCTAAGTATTTGGATTTAGTTTCAAACACCATGATGGAGGGACAATGACCTGCCACAGACATCTTTCTGTGACCCCTTTGTTTTCACCACAGCTTTCTCTTTCATTCACTCTGCCTTGCATTTGCCTCTTCCCACAAATAAGTGACAGAATTGTTCATTAGATCAGCTGCAGTTATACTGAGAACACCATTTGGGTGGCATTACAGTACTGTTACAAACTAGAAAACTTGAATATTTTCTCACTGCTGCAGGCTCTCTGATGTCTGTCAATCCTGGAGTTGCTCGCTGGATTAAGGAACTGTTCTGCCACAATGAACGGGTTGTCCTTACAGGAGACTGGAAACATGGATTTTTCTCCTTAACAGCTGTAGGAGCTACAAACGTGGGCTCCATCCGCATCTACTTTGACCAGGTGAGCAAGGTGGTAGTAGGCAGCTTTCTGGTTTTGATGGTTGAGGTTGGTACAGCCTAACAAACAAAATTACAAGAAAAAAACCTTACTACCCTGAAATGAGGGTGTTTCACAGTACTGATGTTCTAAGACTGATTTAAACACCATCATCTTCAGTATAGACTAGTGTTTTAATATTCCTATTGCCCCTTTGAATTGTGAGACTCTGCCTAGAAAATGCCTGAGTATGTACACACAGTGTACAGCTGTAGGAACATGACTACAGAGCACTGAAATCCTCAAGTAACAGTTTCTTCCTTCTCTGTACAGGACTTGCACACAAACAGTCCAAGTTATTCCAAAGGTTCCTACAATGACTTCAGCTTCGTATCCAACAACAACAAGGAGGGAATCCCCATGAGGAAAGGGGAACATTTAGGAGAATTTAACTTAGGCTCTACGATTGTACTAATCTTTGAGGCACCCAAGGACTTCAAATTCAACCTCAAAGCTGGACAGAAAATCCGCTTTGGAGAAGCACTGGGCTCTCTATAGAAGCTGTCTTAACAGGAAGATTTTCTATATAAAGTGACTCTTACCACACCACTGAGTGTTTCACTTACCAAGTACCTATCACTCAGCAGGACCTGGGTGAGCAGAAAAGATGTCATTGCTGTATTACACTTGAGAGTATTTGGTCTGCATTTACCTGCTGCTGAATGTAGAAACTGAATTGACTGACCATGGATGTATCCGGTACAGCTGCCTTTAAAGATGTTGCCCATGGAGGTTTCTGTCCCACCCTGTGCCTGTAGTCTTTTATGCTCTCCCTTCAATGTGCCACAGGATAATTATGTTCTTAGAGCCTCTAAGTCTCTTGTAAGCCTTCCTATGCTGTGCAGGTGCAGTGGGGAAGGGTGGAGGTGGAGGTTGCCTGTATTTAAAGGGATAGTGACAGGCTGTACCTTTCTGTTTTTCAGACCTTGAGTAAAGAATGTGTTCTCATATTTATTTTGTTCTAAGGAACTCATCTGAAATTCTTACATAAAGGCAGCACAGACAGCCAAACAGTGAAATTGGCTGGGGTGGCTTCACAGCCCAAACAAAATGTGCAACAGACAGCATCATCAGGACAATGAATCAGACTCCATCCAGGTTTTCTGCTGTTCGACTACTTTAATTCTTGTACCTGACATTGTCCCTCTAAAAATGGACTTTGCACTGTATTTTAAAGCTGAAAACACTGTGTCTACATTCCAGACAAAAGAAAATCCCAAGATGACCAGTTCTGTTAAGAAAAAAGACAAAGCTGTGTGTCCCATTCCTAATCTATGGGTTTATTTTGCTATTTCCAGGCCTTAACGTTTTTGTCTGTATGAGAGAGAGTTACTTCACCTCTTGGATTAAGGAGTTAGAAAACACAGATGTTTTCCTTCTGTAATATGATAGCAGTTAAACTATGTTTTTACTTTCTGCTGTGTATCTGCATTGTGGCTTTGTCACTAAATTATTGAAGAATTAATTCCTCGATTTACAGAACAGTTTCAGATACTTCAGGACCAATTTTTATTGCACAGAATGAAATGCCCTATGCACTGACTGTGTTAACAAATATTACAGCTCTTTGAAGAAATCCCCTGTTGGTCCCCAGGTGCCAACCTGGCTCTCCCTTGACTTACTCAAACCACAAACCCCCCACCCTGGCTTTGCTTTCTGCCCTCATGCTTAACACTAGAATGTGCTGGGGGCTGAAAGCTCTTTGCTGAAGCTTCATCCACAGTAACATTTTAGAGCCTCTTTGTAGCTTCACATCAAGAAGAGTTAAAACCTAACACCTTAGATCTGTTGCATGTGGCACTATGTGGCGCTGACAGAAACTGCTGCCAAAGTGAAGAGGAATTCAGTTTTAAAGCAATTTGTCATTTGTTTTCAGAGAATAAACTGTTTCAAGTCCTAGTACTCAAACACTGAGAACTGATTTTGCTGTCCAGAACTTGTTGGAGTGGACATGCTTATGAAACCTGCCTTTCTGCTTTCTGAAAGATTTCTCATATTACTTCCTTGCTTGAGCTACTTTTCTGCTACTTCAAGGAGATGGCAGGCTTTGACCAGCTCTGATCTCCTAAAGAAACCTTTATCTTCTTTGTATGCACTGCAGAAAATAGAATATAATTTTGTTGTACAAATGTCCAGTTTGCCAAGTCCTGTATGCTTAGCTTGTCATCAGGAAGGAAGGGATGATAAACTGCCTCTAAGTTATGGAGCCCAGCCATGAGTCAGATGATGGTGGCTGTTTGGGTGACAAGCAGGAGAAAATTCATTTGGCTCCAGGAGTCAATGTTTCCTCCCTTTACACAGGGAGGGGTTTGGAAGCTTGAAGTGGCTCTCAGCCACCTATCCTGTTAAACTTCTTGGCATTAGCAAGTTTACTCCTGCAGCAGTATAGTACCAGATACAAGGCTTTTTAAACCTTTGAGAGTGAGAAAAGAGTAAGGCAAATATCAACCCCAAGAGGAGCTTTTTGACTAAATGTCAATGTCATGTTAACAGTAGAAAGCAAATTTGTTCCTGTGGATGAGAGAAAAAGACAACTGAATCTTTTTCCCCTTTTCCACTGGGGCATCCAGCCACAGCCAAAGGAAGCTTAAGCTTTAATTTCCTACTCAGCGTCATCATCCATAGTATCTGAAGGTTGCTGTTAGCCTAGTGACAGAGGATGGGTTACCTGATGTTTGCTTTATTAGAAATCTCAGAAGAGAGAATTCAGCAGGCAAGTAGCTGTTTTTATGATGGTCTTAACAGTGAGCTGATTAACCAACATTGCTTGTGATGCAGGGGCCAGCAATGCACCCTGGAAGTGAAAGTAAAGATCCTAGAGGGTACTGATAATGCTGTGAATTTCTCCTGCCTGGAGAATCCATTTAATTCAACTGTATCAGTAGCACGGTATTTTTGTATGTCAAGTGTATGACTTACTGACATGAACTCATTTAATTGCAAACACTTTGAAATAAAGAGTCTTATCCGTGTTGCTTATCTTTCTGACATGTCATGGTAACCTAAACTAGGTACTGCAAGTGCAGCATGAGGTAGTTGTAGGTCCAGTTTGGTTTTTAATCTGATACAGTAACAATAAACCAAGCAAAAGTATTTAACTTATCAAATACAAATGCCATACATAGAACTCAGTGAACATATAAATCTCTTCCATCCTCCCCTGCTATGAAAGGGGCAGAGAGTCCTACCCAGGAGCTGGAAAGTTGGTTCAGATTCCTTATGGATCCAGGGCACTCCGGATATCACTCAGGCGAGCAAGCAGGGCCTGCACATGCTGCCTCTCTGTGAGCTGTGCTTTGGTCAGAGTGTTGATCCTCACCTGCAGCTGGAAGGGAAGACAACTGCATAAGCTGTTTGTACAGCAACACAGCATTTGGTCTTTTTGACAGGATGAGCTTCTCTATCAGCTGTTGTATTATCCCACCTGAGAACCATCCAGTGACTGTCCCTTGGGAACAGCCTGGATTCAGAGGTAGCAAGGCACAGGTGTATGAACCTGGGCCTGAGCACTGCAGGTGGTAAGTCTGGGACAGCTATGCTGTCCTGACAAATTGCAGGAAAAAAAAAGATGTTAAGACTGAATCTACTGGAGCTTGATACATAGCTTGAAAATAGCTGTAGAAAGGTCTGTTGGAGTCATGTTTCTGAACAAATAGGAAGAAGCATCTGCACAGCAGCCTCTTCTGCTCCTCACCCCACTCCTGACTACAACGTTCCCTTCTCCTGGCATTTTACTAACAGCTTACTCTACAGTTCCTCACCAGCTACCATCAGCCTTTATGCTAGCACAGTGATAATGACTTCAGTAACTTCAGTTTGATTGCTGTGTACACACCTGACCCAGTTCTTCCTGAATTCCTTGCACTCTGTCTTGGTCTCCTGATTTCATGCTCATTTCCAGCCACTGCTGTAGGATATGTGCCTGCTGCTGACAGGACCTGATAAAATGGATTAGAAGGATTCTTAACCCAATTAAGAGCTCAACAGTCTAAGCCAACTTAAGACTTGCAATTGATACTTGCAATAGGACCCAATTTTTGTCTCAAAATCAGTGAATGGTAAAACTTTTCAAAAAACAGTGATGGAAAGCACAGGAATCTGTCTGAAAACTGTCATCTCCATCTCCTACTTCTAGTCCATGACTTCCTCCTTTCCTGACAGTTGAATCCCCCCCCAAGCCCCACTTTCTTTTAAGCATTTTTGTAAATGTTTTCTTGTTCTAACAGAGCAGTTGTCAAATATTAGCCGTATTTATTTTTTTAATGGACAGTTGGAAAAATTCAGTCCTCACTCGATAAAAGACCTGAAAGCAACATTTCAGCTGCTCTGCCCACTTAACCTGTGCTGCCTTCAGGTTACACCAGTGATGCCTCACATGCTTCTCCAATAGCTGCCAAAGGTGTAAGTAATTAAACCACTGGCTGACTACAGAAGAAATTGTGCATATATACCTCTTCCACCCAGAGGGGACTCAAAAGGCGAAAATAAACATCTCTACAACTTCTCTCTGTTTCATTCACAACTCTATTGTGAACAGACTGATTATTTTCAGAGTAAATACACACAAAAATTGCAATTTTGAGTTGACGGCATGAAGAGTGGCTAAAGGGGCTCTGCAGCATACCTGAGTTCCTGCTTCCTGCTGTAGTAGTACTGCATCTGCAGTTGGATTTGTCGGAGTTCAACTTCCAGCTCTCCCTGCAACATCGTTTCTTCTCTGGAAATGTGCTCCCTTCCTTTCCCTTCTGCTGAATGGAAGATAAAAGGTACAAGCAATGAGAGTTGAACACACTTTCACTGCTGCCTCTCATCAAAGAAAGGTTAGTAGATAGGAAACGTGGAATCCTCCCAAGGCCTTTTCACATGTTTGGTCGCCCTGTGACATGTACCTGTTCACCCAGAAGATCAGGTACAGTGAGAGAGCAGGAGTACTGACACCTGTACAAACTCTGAAGACTCAGTTTGAACACACACAAAAAATAAATACTCTAGTGAATGGTTTAGGTACAACTAACACTGTTTTGGCCTATTCAGGATTTAGTGTTTTACATCTAGTCTAGAAGTAATTAAGTAGTCCAAGTCTAGTCCTGCAGAACATAAATTTCATGCCCTTATGTCATTAAAAACACCAAAATGAGAGGTGGTTAGACACCATCCTGTCCCCTTTCCACCCACACTGTCAGTACAGGGAAGTCTCAGGAGAGCTTAACTCTTCCCTCCTGAAGCGAGTTCTGTACACACAAGTGCCCCAGCACTTGAGCATGTTCTTGCTAAAAGAGTCCAACCCCAAGCAGTTCCCACCCTTCAGTCCCTGAAACAAGGCTTTAGCCCTCTGTACAGCAACAGATTCTGCAGAATCCACAAAACTGTGTAATCATCCCAAAAAGAAACTGATATCCTTTACCTCCTGACACTACCATACCAGACTGCCTTATGCCTTGTACATTTAGTGGATTGTATACACTAGAGGAGGATGTGCAAGTGCTACAGTTTAGCTCTGAGGACCTACCTGCAGTTTGCTGACTCCGTTTTCCCATGAAGTCTTCAGGTGACAGCAAATGTGGCTGCAAATTTGGTTGCAACTTTTTCTCCACAGAGTTCTGTTGAGGATCTTGGGAATGGGCTTCCTTCTGAGCATTCCCAGGATGACCTTCTCTCTACAAGGTCAGAATGGTATTAGGTTTTTCCTCAAAGGGTTTTCTTGAGTAAGCCCTACAAGTAGGATGCAGCAGACCTGCATTAAGCCCTACTCCTATTCTGACAACCCCTGTACTCACTGATCCTCTCATAAAATACCACAGAAGAGCTTAGAAAAAGAGCTCTTTCATTTCTAGCATGGAGCTATTTCACCAAGATTATCACCTTCCATTCTGTGTGGAACAAAGGAGGTTAAAATGTAAGCAACCTACTTGCAGGTAAAGTTAATTTCAATTTTTGAGCCTCTCAGACATAGCCACTGGTCCTAAACTGAGTTTCTCTTAAATCTCTGTAATCTGGTTGGCAAACCAGTAACTGAACTGCTCTGAACTCTGAAGGGGCAGCATCCCTCAAATCGATTGTTTAGAAAAGCATCTGGCTAGGGAGACCACCAGGAAAAAAGAAATTAATTACAGTACAACACACACGTGGACTGCTTCAGACTGGGGGTAAACAGCTCTTGGCATTCAGAGGCACTTCATTTGGTCAGTTTTAAAGATGACAGCTAGGACAGGGAAAGAACAGCTCAGCATCCAGCTGGGCTGTTCAGAAGAGCCACGGGAAAATCCAGCAATAAGTAACATACCTGCTGACAGCTGCCCAGAACACACACTAATTGCTCCTTCAGCAAGACACTCACCATTCCTGATCCTGCTTTCACTCGGGGCATGAAAGATGCAGGAGACATCAGCTCAGGCCTCGGCCCAGCACAGGGCACACTGTGTGTCCACAGTGGTACAGAGGGGAGAGCAGCAGGTGTCAGGGGTGGTTGGCAGTGAGTGGCATTGCCCAGCTGAGATAGACGTGTACAGGTACTTTCTTCCGTGTGAGGTGTCAGCATTAAGCTCCCAATCTGTGCAGAACGTTTGTTCCCAGGTGTTTGCTGAAAAGGCACCTCTGACCTGGAAAGGAAGCAGGATGAAGTCTCTGTACATTGCTACCTGTTGGTCTTGTCTTTGCAGTCAGTGCAAAAAAAAAGGAGACTCTTGTAATTCCCTTGCATCCAGCTTTCCAGTTAGCTGCTTCACTATGCCCACTGTAAGTCACCCTCTTGTTCTTTCATTTTAAAAACAGACTTTCTACCTAGTAAAAGGAGGTCCCAGCAGTTCCTTGCTTTCTAGAGATTCCAGAAGGAAGTCAGGCCTCTGTGGTGGTAACCTTGCTTGTTGAATAGCATTTCTGAAAAGAAAAACATGATAAAGAATGTCCCAGATTCATTATTAAACTGGCAGAATCTGGAATTGCAGCCACAGAAACAGTCCTATTCCACAACTCATCTCTGCTCTGCAACACTCCCCTTGCATACAAAAATAATTCCTGAAGATTAAATTTCAACCTGTCCTAATGTGAATATCTGGTTCACCATGTGAATGGTTATGCCAACACAAGGAGTGATAGAAGGGACAAAACTTATCGGGCAGAAACATTTCTTTTGGCAGCATATACTAGCTTAAAGGAACATGAAACTACCACCTTATTTTTCTGTAAGGCTTCTGTCCTGGACTGAGAAGCTTCATGGAAGATTCCTCTTTGCAAATGCCCCATGATCAGTAGGAATTTTTAAAGGAATAGCTTCCCCGTGGGGAAAGAAAGGAGCAAGAACAAAGCTCAGCTTCTGTCCAGCCAGGATCTTGATGTTAGCATTTCATCAGACCTTATACATGACTTCAGTGAAAAGAAACAAGAGCTTCAGTGACAGCTCTAGGCCATTTGGGCAAAATAATGTTATGATGGCCAAAGTCCCTTCACAGATATCTTTCAAATGTTTTTCTGTGTAACTGTTCAATGACAAATGACAAACACTTCATGAATTCAGTTGTATCCTGAGAAATGCAGACTGGAAGGTCTACAGCTGAACTGATCCTACCTGATATGCAAGTATAAAGTCACAAATCCCTTCACTCAGTGTGGGCTGATGTTTGCATTATACAGCAGCTCTTGTATAACTCTGCACCACCAGCTACAGGGTCAGAGAAAGAGTTAAAGAAACTGCATGGAACTAACAGTCATCAGTGTAATGACTTGGAAACACAAAAATGGAGACATAGACAGACAGACTACATATGACAGAAAAACAGGGGAGGGACTAGAACTTTACACTCACAGATCACTGAGAACTGAGCCCACATCAGCAGAGTGAAATGGTAGATGTCTGCATTTTGAAGGCCATGACTCTTCCTCTGATGAATGTCCTCTTGTCTCAGGGCTGCCTTTTTCCATTTGCATCTTCAGAGATGGCAGAAAAGAACAAGGGTTATTTAATTTCTTGGAAAGAGCCTTCTGTTTCCACAACATAGCACAACAATACACTGACTGGTGAAGGTTGTAGGCTGCCTGCCAACACAAAGAATAGCAGAGCATCTGAGGGCCAAGAGCAGGAAGCAACAGCACATCACCCAGGGAGGACACCTCAGCATGAAACTGAGATTTCTGATGGACTCACAGCCATACCAGCTCTCTAAGCTGGATGACCAGGTCCACTGTGGTAACATTTGGGTAAGGACAATTAAGTGGGTACTTCTGCAACCAGGCAACCTGCACATTAGCAAATAGGACAACTGGTGTCCTGAAAACCTGGAAGTGCTGGGAAAGCTGCCCAGCAAGAGAGTAATCAACACAGGCATACCTATCTTCCTTTTCACACACAGGGCTGGGTTGATACTCACAGGCAGAAGTGACACAAGCTCACATTTGACAGTACAAGCAGTGCTAAAGCTAAGACAGGATCAGATACAGCCTCTAATGCTTCATTCTAGCACAGAATTTAGGGACCAGACCCTAGCCACATCAAAGGTTTCATCCAGAAATATGTCTATGGCAGAAATGGGCCAGTTTTGAAACAGTTTCATTATGGTTCACAGTTAGCAACACAAGTCTGAAGTGCTCCAGTCTCAGCTGAACAACATGCTTTGAACCACAGGCAAAAGTGCATGTGGGATTCAAAGAACAGCCAAGATGTAGGGCTCCAAAGCACATACATACACACACACAAAAATGCACCACCACACACAGAGATCTGAGCAGCCCAGTTCTGGATGTGTCTTGTTTCTCTCACTTTCAGCTGGTGCTGGGCTTGGAGCTGTTCCTGCAACTGTTTGATGCCAGTGGTGTTTCTTAAGGCCCAGGTTACACCTTCTCTCAGAGAAGTCATGTGGTCAACGCCTGTGAATTTTTCAACACCATCTTTCTCTTCCTGTTGCTCCTTAGCAAATCTGAGCCAAGCATCAAATACCTACAACATGAACAGAGAGCTGAAGTGTTACACAGACAGGTTCCCGGCCAGGGACTCCCCCTGCAGACAGGAACACTCTCCCTTACACTGGATCGGAATAGGCAGAGCTGCAGCAACAACAGGACAGTGCCACAAGGACAAAGGGACAGGGATTGAAGTCAGCTGAGGCTGGATGGGGAGAAACATGGGTACATTTTTTAATCGGCTAAGATGATTTAGGGACAGTTTTCCAGCATTCCAAAATAATATATAGCACCCCAAAGACAAAAGGTAACAGATATCCAGTGTGGATTCTGCTGACTGCAGTTAAATCTACACATGATCTGCACATCTGCAAACTCAACTTGCCTGTCCCTGCCCTGCACACCCCCTTACCTTTCTCTGCACTGTAAGGGACCAGTGCCACAATGCTTGCACTGTCTTCCTCTTTTCCCATTGCTGCTCCAACAGCTATTGGGGGGAAAAAAATGTACACAAACCAGGTTAGGAGTTTACATATCCCACACCAGGAACACCAGCCAAAGTGTTAACCAAAGAGGAAGAAGCAGAAAAATCTACACAGTTCACCCAGTCTGTGGCAAGGTATCTCTTGTGCTAGTGGAACCAGAAAGTCCTGAAAATGTTTAAATAAGTTTTTCTGGTCCTTGTGTAAATGGAGCATGAAGAAGGGAAAAGGATTAGCAAGAAGCTAGGGGAAAATTCCTCACCCGTGTCTTCCAGCAGGAGAAGGAAGCAGAGCAAAGTCTACGAGTCATTAGGTGATCCCCCAGCCCCTGCAGCAGCTGTAAGGCAACCAAAACAGTGAGTCACTTGCAGACAAACCCCATTTATCTGAGCCAATTGCTACTAGAGCAGAATAGCTACCAAACATCCTTTATCATCGCCCTTTGCCCTGTTGAGGCCACTCTCAACACCTAAGTGCCTTATGGTATAACCCCATTTGCAGACATCTCTGAGCACAGCAAGGACTTCATTCAGAGTAAAAGATCCCACCCATGGCAAGCTCAGCTCACCATCTCTTGTAAGTCCATTAGTTCTATCAGTTTCTTCAAGCAAGACAGAGGAGTGTCATGCTCCTCCTCAGCCAGGACTGCCATTCCCTTCACCACGGGACACAGCTTGCTCCTCTACACCCATAACCTCCCACAGGCTGGGGAGGTTACTGATCCTTCTCACCATTTTCCTGAGGCACTGCTGATGATACTTTTTCCATTTCACCAGGTACTTCCGGAGCAGATGCTGCTGGTGGTGCTGTACTGCCCTGTGGTGCTGAGCCCTCAGCATCAGAGACTCTCTAGTTAACTCTTTCCAGTGAAGAAACAGAGTCTCTAAACGCACTGTTAGGAGAAGACAAATTAACTCATGTACCAAAACGAGACAATCTCAGGGTATCAAGTGATCAGCTACTCTTCCAGACTATTTCAGCAATACTTAACATGGACAATACTCAGCACTGACAATGTTCAGCATCAGGAAGGATTGTGAAACACTTCAGGTAACAGACAGTGAGCTGTGACTCACAAGTCTTCCCTGCTGCCACTGACATGCTCTATACTTTTAGGAAATCATTTGCCCTCTGTGCTTCAGAGTCCTCGTGTCAAGAACATGCTTGTAGAGTTTGAGGGTCTTTGAGTAAGAATTACTAGAGAAAGACTGAAGCAGTAATTGATAGGATTACTTGCACTGCCCTCAAAACAGATGTCTGAGCTTCTCAAAATTAGCAATGGAAAATTCATTTGAAAGAGGAAGTGTTACCATCCCTTATATAGATAAGGGACCAACAGAGAAGCAGAAGCTGCCCAAGCAGCCTTCAGCAGATCAGAGGAGCCCCAAGCCACTCTCCATTCAATGGGGACATCCTGTGTAAGCTAACAGACCATCCAGTAACTTCAGCTGCACAGATGACACAGACTGCCCTTGGTTCATACACAGATAACGAGGTCTCTTGAGAGTTCAGTATCTCCACCAGCTCACCAATATCCAAATGTTTTCTGGCCTCCGTAAGAGCTGTCACCTTCTGCTGGCGGTGACACACTCGCAGCCAGGCAGTGTGTCTCCACTGGAGCAACACCTAAAGATACAATGCAAACAGGAGATGGGATACAGCAATGGAAGGGGAAGCAATGTACTCCCCATTGCTGGCACCATAACCATTTCCATCTCATTTTTCACATAAGGCTCAGCAAGTCTGCAAGTTTGCTACAAATACAATGCAGCACTATTGCAGAGGGTCCCCCTGGCATTTTTCAAGGCATTCTTCTTTTCCATCTACCTGTCCTCCTGCCCACACTCCACCTCCAACCCTAGGTAATATTGCTATGCTCTATCATACTACTGGTTTCCCCTTCCCTCTAGGAAATGGGGAGAAATACAGAAAGAGGAAAAACTATGAGCTCACTCAGACAAGTTTCAGAGAGGCCTGTAAAAATGAGATTCCCACTTTTTAGACATTTCTTAGTAGTGGCTCACAGATTAAGTTTTTGGTCCTTCTAATTGCATTACCTAATCCCTGCCTAAACCAGCACTGTACTGAGACTGTGGTGCCTGCTGTACAGACCTCACCTTTGATAGGACTGCTCTCCTGTAGTGCTCATCTGCCTGAGTAGTGGCCTCAGCTTCATGTACAAGAGCAAGGGCATTTTCTCTCCAGGTACGTAGAAACTGCCTGAAGAAAATAACATATAAAAATAAACAAAAACCATTAAGAATGATTCTCATTTGTTCATCTGGCTTACAAGGAGTAGGAAGGGAACACACAAGGGAACCAAAACCAGCTGCCTCTATAAACTCAGTCATGCAGATCAACTTCTGCCCCTCCAGGCCTCTGCTGAAGACAAGGCAGTGCAAAACAGAACACTGAAATTCAGCAGCTTCCGCTGAGCCAGTCAGGCTCTGCTAGTGACTCGAGTTGTATAGCATTAAAACAAATCAGGTAGCTAAAACTAAAGCAATTACAGGCAATCTAAAGTGATATTATCTTTAATTGTTATCCTCACTGTAATGAAAGACAGCCTCTACATCTTCCAGGCTGTTTAATACCCCAACAGTCAGAATCCACATGCTGCAGGGAACAATACAGTTTGCTGCCTGCTGTCTCTCACGGGACTAAACAGATTTTTAAAAAGCTCAAGCAGAACAGATAGCAAACAGGAAGAGGTTGATTTCTTTTAGCCAGATGCTCTGCCTGGAAATAGCAATGCATGGCAGAGTCAACCCCCAGCACTAATCACTCAAAAAGTGACAAGGGTGGCAGTGAAAGAGTCACTTGTCTGCAGTGCAGTCCCTGCTCTCAGGCAGCACAAGGAAAGGCTTACCGCAGCAACACTCTGCTGTGCTGCTTCTCCTTTTCAGCCACTTGGGACAGAATGCACTCTACATTTTGCTGGTAACTCTGCAAGAAAAGCAGTGAGAGGTAAAATTTCCTTCAAATGCCAACACCTCTGAGGAAAGAAGACATCTAGAAACTCTTAGTAGCAGCTCAGGAGAGCAGTAGTGGCAGTAGAGTACAAGGAAAAAAACCCCAAACCCAGAAGAAACCCAGCAAATTTAGAGCCACTGAAATAAAATGCTGCTTTTCAGTGTTGAGCAGTCACTACACTCTAGTTATTGCTAGCTATGACATAACCTTCACCAAAGCTACATTACCCTTGGTTCTTTTGCTCCATAAAGCAATGCTAGAGCTTATACAGCCCTATCTATGACAGCCTCCATTCTGCTTTGCACACTTGGTGTGTACATGCCAGGAGTGAAATAGTGTGGCAGCTCTTCAGTCCTCATTGAAACACTTAAGCACACACAGACAAGTGCCTGAAAGAAAAGCACATTCCCTCCTACCTTCCAGGCTGCCAAGGTCTTGCCCAGCAACGTGTGCTGATAGTGCAGATCTGCTTGCACCAACTTCCTCCATTTCTCACGCTGATGTTCCACGTACTATGAGGAGGAATTGGGACAAAACCAAAAGGTATGTACACAGGGAGTAGGGAAAACAGGCAGTGGGAGACAGAAGAGGGAAAAGGACCATTTACAGTCTTCAGGGAAACATCAGTCCTTTATTGTGCTGAAACAGGTTTTCACTCAAACTGCTGCTGCACTCTGCCATTCCCCCAAAAGGCCGAGCTGAGGTGCTTTTGTTCTGCCCTTTGTAGGAATCCTCTTGAAGACTGATGCAATTCACTCCAGTTAACAGGTCTGGACCGACATACTAGCACCAACTCTAGAATTTCTCACAGATTCTCAAGACATACTGCAAGGCACATTTGGTACATCACATCATGGTGAAGAAAAGGCCCAGTATAAAAGTACCCTGTGACAGGATCTGCTATGACCTGTACACAAGTACAGGCCATACACAGTGGCCTTGCTGCAAACTGCTCACTTAACTAAAGTTTTGAGGAGGACACACACAGTACAGACCAGGGACAATTTCATCACACTAACTCTGGTTACATTACCAGGTGCATCTAAATCATATTCTCACCATACCTAAACATGTGAACACAAGTCAAAGAATTCCCTCTCCTCCCTACACAATTCCTGATCTGCCCACAATGAACTGGTTTTATCCACATGGAAAGGGAGAAGAGCTTAGGAATGACCAATATTTAAAATAAACAATTGAATTTCTAGGCATATGGGTGCAAGCAATCTGAACAGAGCAAAAAGGATTCAAGCTCTTCCCCATCTGTTAACTCTCTCACCTCCCTCCACTTGTTCCAAGTCTGCTGCAGACACTTTGAACAGTGAAATCTTGAGGCTTGTGTCTCCTTGAGCCTCCTATAAGAAAAATAATTATTTCTCCTACAGTGCAATCCATGCTGCTGAGTCCTTCTAGCACAGACTTAAGTAGACAAATTAGTAGACTCCAAAGCCCAAATAAGGAGTCAGCATCATCGTGAATTCGATGCTGTTCGTCAAAAGTAGGCACCACAGGGCCAATCCAGATCATTCTGCATTTACAAAACAAAACATCTTCTTACTCCGTTTTTCTCTCCTGAGCACTTTGTTTCCACAGACAGAAGGCCTTTAGCAGCAGTAGGTTACTGTAGTGATCTCCTGCATGAACCAAGGCCTCTTGCTCCTCCAAACAGGCAGCTGTTCTTCTGCGCCAGGAGCACCAGAAACAATGCAACAGTTGCCTTTCAAAATGAAGCACAGCCTAAAGTGGAAAGAAGGTGGCAATGAATTCATCACAGGGCAGGTACAAACCACAGAAGACAACTCCTCAAGTTAAAGATGACATGCAGATTGAACAGCAATGGACACTCCATCAGAGCCCTTTGCTGTGAGGTTATGTGAATGTGTTCTACAGGTACCTCTGTGCATGTGGATGGAGGAACTGTTACCAGAAACCAATGGCCAAAGAGATATATAGCATGGGAAAGACTCCCACGAACTGATAAACTCCAGAAACCAGCCCGATGGAGTTTACAAGAGCTGATAATCTCACACCATATCTGCACGAGGACACCCACACACATTACCATCAACATGGAGCTGTGTAACACACATACACATAACACATAAAAGGCCACAGTGGCTGCTCCATACAAAGACTCCAGAATTACATATACGCCTTAGGAAATCAAGGACACCTTAAGGAACTTCATGGACACCTACCTAGAAGGAAGCAGCTTGTCTGTACAACCCTCCACTTCTTAAATAGGCTGGGGTTGGGCCCTTTTTTACTGTTTTCACAAAGTAACTATGACACAGACAGTGTGAGTTTCCCGACTTGATTCCCCCACCAGGGAAAAAAGAGTTTACAACACTCAAGTCCATCTCATGCTAACTCATGTTCACAGACACTGGCTAAGAAATCATCCCATTTCCTAAGCAGGGCCAGGTAAGAGAGTTACATTTACCCTCTTCTCTTCCATTCTGTATTCCTGCAGCTTGCAGGCCTTCAGCAGCCATGTGTCAAACATCTGTCGCATCAACACCCTCCTGCAGGCAAAAAGGGACAATGTCAGCACAGGAGATAATTCTTTCAGAAAACACATTGATTTTATCAATGTCAAACAACCAATCCATCTGCAACTTAAACAGCTACTTATTCTTCAAGTCATGCAAGCCTACTTTAGAAACCAGGCAGTGGATAGATCATTACTCTGATACAGTCCAGCTCTTAAATCTAAACAAGCCTCAGAGCTAGGCTTAATCAATCTCCCTCTCACATTCCACAGAGAAGCAGGAGATAGAAATCATTCATTACTCATAGAAGATATCTGAGCAATTAGCATCAAGATGGTCATGGCCCAGACTTTTAAAGAGAACCAAAGGCCACAAATCCCATATCTGTACAAGTTTACATTAATATTTCTCTGTGTACCTATAACGGGCATGAGCCACTGATGTTAAGACCTGCTGCTCTTCTTCCTCCTTCTCTTCCAAACGGGACTTCCAACGGTTCCAGAACTTCTGCAGCACCTGAAACAAAACAAGACAAAAAAACTCCATAGATATTGAGGGAGGAGAAGAATGAAAAGAAAGAAGTTATTAAAGTCCTACTGAAACTGCATACTGCAATGGTTGCCTCCTGCACTGCTTCATATACCAAACCTGGTTTATGCTATAGTTTTTCTGCTAAAAGAAAAAAAAAAAAATCACAATAAATGTAGAGAACCAAAAAACTAAAATACCATATCTAAGACTGATAGTTGACTAGCACAGGAGATTTTATGTGGCTGCTAGTATTTAGAAACAAAGCAACTGTTGTAATAAAAAAGTACTTTGTAGGTCCAAGTGGAAGCCAACAGGACAGCTCAAGAAAAACTGACACAAGAACAAAAGCCAAACTCACTGTAACTTGATGCTGTTGGTGTGACAGATTTTTTCTCAGCTGCTGAAGACGAGTGTTCATGACATTCTGCCAAAGACCCTTAAACCCAAGTTTCTGTAACAACAAGAAGCATTCACAACTTTCACATAATCCAAATCAGGTAAGTTTAGAACTGGCTGCCCCTTACAGACAATTTGTGTTGGATACTATTCCTTGAAGTTGCTAAGACTCATGACCCTGTCAGTACAGCCAGGCATCTATGTCCTCTCACAAATTGTCACTTCTCCAGCTAAACTAAAATTCCCTTTCACTTTCTCAGGGGTTTACTGAGAGACATCTAACACCCTACTCAGCTATCAACACCACTACCCAAATCCTCCCCCAGTCTAACACCTCCTTCAGTTCAGGACTCATAACTTTCTCCTTACCAAAATACAGAACATCCAAATCCCTTTTAGGTCTCTGCACAAGGTCTTTTGGTCTACAATCCCACAATATCTTGACTGAGGGGTGAACATGGTAAACAGCATTAAGAGAGCAGCCTGCTTTGAAGTGCTCTTATAATCACCAATGTTTTCACTTCATGATCCAAACTGGTTTATTGCTATTCTTTTGATAATTGGTACTGATCCACCCTTGAAAATAATTCGCTTCCAAACAAGCTGGAGGCTTGCTTGTGCCCACCTTTCAGACAGCCTTCAAGGATTTTTTTTTTCTTGGGAAAAAAAAAAAAAGGGCAAAAGAGTCCCCCAACAAGACACTCAACTACTTGCATATGCAATAAGCTATCTCTGGACTTACATGAAAAGCAGCTTGTTTGCATTACTGCAGAGGAGAAATAATTCTGGTAGCAAAACAGTGTAAAGAAAAAAGAAAAAAATCAAAGGGAAAATGGTGGAATGGCCAGGGAGCAGGTAGCCCAATACCCTCAAGATTAATCTGCTGCTTCACTAGTTGGAAGAATAACTGTTCTGGAGAGCAGCACAGTTTCTCCATTTGGATTCAACTGGCAGATTCCAGAATAGTTGAAACTTAGACACCTGATGCCCAGTCCAAACTCACCATGGCAGAAAACGGTGCATCTCCAACTTAACACCCACACCCCACTGTCAGCACTACAGGGACACTCCACAGCCCCTTCCACCTGACACCTAACAGTGCTCTTACCAACAGGTGATGCCTGTAGTGCTCTTCAGCCAACTCACAGTGCTGAGTCTCCTCCGCACACAGGACATCTGTTACTGAGTTAAAGGAGCTTTTACACAGAAACATCCATCCTGATACACACATAACCTCCTCCCACAGAGGGGCACTACATCTCCATCTAAATTTGCTTCAATATTTGAATTTCCAGCACTGTTTTCTGCAGAAGTTTTGATTACAGTCAGGTTTTTAGATTTTGCTGGCTTATTACAACAGGTTTCTGATTCACTCTTAAGGAATTCCTGCACAACCATAAATTATCTTCTTCAGCCTCTTAGCTGTCAACATGCTAACATCCTGTAATTGCAACAGGTTAATTAATTGTTAGTAGGGCCTTACATACAGCTTTCTAATCATAACATCTTTGTGTCACCCATGCTACCGCACAACATTCCAGCTTATTAACTGGATCTTTCCCCTGCGGGAACACTTTTAACCTGTCCATGCTAGGGACTAAATACAGATTGGATACAGTGCTTCCACTGTGCAAAGACTCTCCATAAGGCAATCCTTGCTGCTAGTTTTCCCATGCCCCTTTGGTGAGCCTGCATTCTTCTCCTGCATTCCCACGCCAGGCGCCAGTCAGAGAAACACCGCCGGAGCATCCTGCTTTGGTGATACCCTTGGGCCAGCTCTAGAAAACAAACACAAGTTACTCATGCCTTGTTCTGTCCTAGACTCATTTGCATCAGATGAGACCATAGCATTTAAGCCCCTGGTCCTGAAGTGACAGAAGCTCACTGAAAAATGGTGATAAGAATTCACATTGACACTCAGCAATGGACTACATTCCTTCTATTGCTGGCAAAGGCAGTTTGAAAGCAGTAACCTACTGAACTGACTTAAGAAGGGGAAGTTAACACACTGCATCACTTGTTCAGCATATACAAGCTTGCTTACATTTCAGCATACTCCTGTTACTACCTCCTAGATATCCAAGCTGGATTCTTTTCTACTACCACCAGTCAACAGGAAATTCACACAAACACCTGAACTCATTCCAGTGAATTCAAGGGAAGAGACAAAAGAACTGGTATAATAATCTTTACCACCCTGTATGAGTTTTGATTTGTCTGATTATCAAGAAAAGCCACACACAGATTGCCTGGTCAAAGCCCTGAATACATCTTTCTCACAGATATTCCAGTCAGAATGTAATATACAATGTGCAAGTTTTCATCAAGGGAACTGAAACTATTTTCCTTTAAATCACATGGAAAGCAGGTGATCTTCCTGACAGTTCAGTATATAACCTTAGCTAGCCAGGCCTGTCACAGTGTACAGTCCAAGTTGCATCTCATCATCTGTTGAGCAGAAATACTGCAACAACTTCTAGAACAGAAATAAGCATCACTTTGTCATCAGGTGATGAGCTCTGTTCTGTCCTAACTCACCATTTTCACTCACCATTCTGAAGTTTCTTTACTTTGTGGAGCTTTAAGTATCCCAGCCATGCTTCCATGCACCTCTTCAATTCCCAGTGCTGATGGTGAGTTACTGCCCTGGTCTCCTTCTGGCTGTACAAATACAGCTCTCGCCACTGCAGCCAAGCCTGACAGAACAATTGAGGAGTGAAGGCAGTAAGGGGAAAAAACAGACCAGATCAGGGAAACAGAACAAAGCAGAGAAGAGGAAGAACACACAGGCAATAGGAAATTCCATATAACTTCTAAAGGTGAAAACCATGAGCAATGAGGTTCCTCCCCATAAGGGGGGAAAATCCCCAACCAAAGCCAAAGGTATGTTAGCATGGAAAGGATAAAGACAAAAAATGTCAATATCAAAATTTTCTTCCCTTTCTCTTTTAATACTTTTGCACTTTTTTTCCCATTAAAAGACCAAAATATACTTTCTGGACAATAGGCTCTCTTTCATAGTATTTCCATATAAAAGAGAATCACATCATGAGACACAGTAAGATTTCTTGAGTCATGAGTTTCTCTCCTCAGTAGAATACTGCCCTCAAACAGGCAGTGTTGCCATCTCACAGTGCAGGCCAAACTACATACCATCACCTGCTTTTAATGAAATGGACAAAAAGTCACAGTTCCAGTGAAAGAAAGAAAGAAACTCCTGCTGATTTCACTTCAGTCAAGATGACCAGTTTTCTGAAGGAGCAGCCTCTCAAGGACATGAAATGGTGGCTTGTATTTTCTTACTTTGAAACAGAGTTAAACATGCCCACAAGAATTCAGTAGGGTGTAAGAAATGGTGTGTTAAAGAAGCAAGGGGCTGTCAAACAACTGAGCAGTGCTATCTCACCTCCTAGTGGGACAGTGGATTGGACTTTTGTGGAGTTCAGCATTCCAGAGCTGGATGCAACTATCCTTCGCTGCCCTGCTCAAAATGCCACAGCTGCAAACTCGCACACCTGTTTACTTTCACCTCTTATCTACCTGTGCTTAGTTTCTCTGGTGGAGAGAACTCTTTCACCATTATCAAGCATTGTACAAGACAGCATAATTCCTTCAGACAGTCCACTTCCTAGCAAACACACAACATGGATCCAGTTTGTTTTGTCTAGATTTCATGTAAAGATGTTTTCTCTTTAAAAGAATTGTTTTTACCTTCTTCATAGAATCATAAGAGCATCACAAGTTGGAGGGGACCTATAAGGATCAAGTCCAACTCCCTGTTTCCCTGGGAAGCCTTTTCCAGGGACTGACCACCAGTCAGGTCCTTTTCCTAAGGTCCAATCTGAACTTGCCCTGACACAGCTTCATTCCATTTGCTTATGTCCTGATAAGTTACTCTGTCAGAAGTACTGCAATTCACAAAGCAAATGAGTATAAGGCCTATTTTTCATTCATCTGCATCATTTTCACACACGTGTGCAACCCAAACATTAGAAATAGTAGAAGTTGAAGCTCATGGGACTCACTCGAAACTGCAGGCTCTGGGCCCAATGCTGCAGAGCCACAATATTCATTTTACGTCCAATGCAGTTCTGGTAGTGTTGTCTTCTCCATATTGCCCATGAAATGCTGCCAAAACAATATTACAGACATGTTCAAACACAGGTGCCATAATCTGGTGCAAGAAATCACCTTCCTCTCACTGCAAAAATATATGAACAACAATCTTTTCATAGAACCACAGAATGGTTTGGGTTGGAAGGGACCTTAAAGCTCATCTCAATCCAACCCCCTGCCATGGGCAGGGACACCTTCCACTAGAGCAGGTTGCTCAGAGCCCCACCCAACCTGATCTTGAACACTTACACGAATGAGGTGACAACTTCTCAGGGTAATCTGTGCCAGTGCCTTGCCACCTTCACAGCAAAGAGTTTCTTCCCAATATCCAATGTAAATCTACCCTCCTTCAGCTTAAAGCCATTCCCCCTTGTCCTGCATCCCTTTGCATGAAGTCCCTCTCCAGTCTTCCTGTAGGCTCCCATCAGGTATTGGAAGGTCTCCCTTAAATCCACAGTCTATGGCTGTGTCAGAAGAACTCACTCACACACACCAAAAAGTAACAAAATAAAATTCAAAAGCTGAACATGGACAAAGTCACTTCAGGAAAAGTTAACCCAGGTAAAAAGCCATGGCCTTATGGTCAGAGCCTCTCTGCCATCCTTACCACAAACAGATTCTTTCCCTGAATGCCAGTGCCACAGTCTGCATCTCACGTTTTGTCCTTTGAACATCAACATAAACCAGCCAGCACTGCCAGGTCTTGAGCAGCTTTTTCTTCTTTGCTGTGCACAACAGAAAAATGACAACATCCTGAGTTCATGCAAGAATCTGGCATGTTTCAACCACTCCATCACACCTTTGGTCGCCGACTCCTGTCCCTTCAACCCGCAGTGACACCTCGTGGGAAACCCTGAAACGACATCAACTCTCACCGTGGCCGCGGGTGTGACACTGACAGCGCTCAGAAACGCTGACAGCACGATGACATTGCTCAGAGCAGCGTGAAATATCCACAGTGGCAGCGCTTTGTCCTCAGTGCTTACAGGGTCTATCACTGTAGGGCAATGTTCAGCGTAACGACCTTACTGGGTAAGAATTACAGGATTTTCTTTGGTTCATTTCAAAAAAAGAAGTTCATCAGGTTCATCAGTGGCTTTTCAAGAGTTATTCTCCAGTACAAGCAGAGAAATCAACCAGAAACAAGTCAAGTTTATTTAGCAGGCTGGTCACGCAGCTAAAAACAGAAGTGGTGTCACGAATTCCAGTTTACCACTTTCTGCAGTGCACTGCACTTTGCTCTCACAGTAGTCTGGTTTGTCAGAACTCACACTATGGAAGCAAAGTTCTCTGGAAAAAACATCATTGATTGTCTGTCACTTCACACTGACACACAAAAAAACCTCCAAACTTTTTCTTAAGATTTCCTTGTGAATCAACCTATCTGAAAACTGGTCACCTTTCTCTATTTTTGAGTAAGCAATACACAGCTTCTGCTGTAAGTACTCTGGCCTCACTCAGTAGGAATGAAGTCTAGATAGCATAACAGTTTGTGTCCAAAGGTTCCAGTCTCTAGGATACCCTGAGGCAATGTTCATGTGCAAAGACATCAGTTAACTTGTTTTGCAGAGCAGAACAGAATAAAACCACAGTATCATCTTTAAACAAGGGTCATCCTCCCTTTCAGCGAAACATATTCCCTGAAACCCAAGACAGTTGTAACCAGCATGGACAACTCCAAGACAGATCCACTGCAGAGCAAAGAATCTACACAATCAGACAAGGGGCACTTCAAAAAGCTTTGGCTTCTTTCCAGTTGTAAGACACAAGCTGGAAGGAACAGTGAATACAGATAAAATATGTGCAGTTAATACCACAGGGAATTATTATCTAATTCCTATAGCCACAGCTGGTAGAGAATTCCAATAACACATTCTATCAAAAAATATCTATTTGAACACATATTGTGATTAAGTTAAAAAAAAAAAAAAAAAAAGAACAACAAAAACCCAACCAAGCCACCCCCTCAGAAACAACCAGTGCAATTCAGAGCAGATGGAGAGGCCCTTAAGCTTATTCACTGCCATCCCTAGATAACTCTGTAGTACCTCACATGGAATTCCCCTGCCAGCCTCAGCCAGCCATCTGCACCTGGAAGCACTGCACTGCCCTGGGGTGGGGGAGCTCAGGGTGCAAACAGGCACAGGGCACAGAGATTCTGGGTAAGTATTTCCCGTGGAAACTCCCATCTCAGTGTCCCCAAATAAAAATAGTTACCATCACTTCACTTACCATGAGACTCTGCAACACAGTATTTGTTCCTCTTTTCTTGCTGCTGGCATACATAGGCTCTCCAAGCCCTGAATACCAACTTGTGCAGTAAATGCCTGAAAAATGAGAACAGTGCCATTCGGTGAAACAGCTACCAATGCCTACAAGCAGGATTCTTTCAAGTTCAGCTGCACTCTAAAGATACATTGAAAATGAAACTTGGATTCATCCTAAGACAACTGCAACAAAGAGACAGGGTAAGAAAAACATGGAAATAAGCAATGAAGACACAGCTCTTGGCCTAGAGGTACTGTGCATGTACGCTGTTTACTAGCATTAATGACTCCTTCAGGACCTAAGGAAAGTTTCTCATGCACACACAAATGGGAAGTAATTTCACAAACCTGTCATGACTGTCTGCTCTGAGGCTGAGCTTCCTTTCTCTGCAAACAATCCAACACTCCTTCCACTCTCCAAAAGTTTTTGCAAGAATCTTCAGGTCATAAAAGCATCTAAACAGTTGAAAGATTTGGACATAGGAAACTTCATGCAGCTTTCCAGAGTGACCACAAATCATTTTTAATGAAGATTACACTACCTCTTCTCCAGTCTTGCCTGATTAGCCTAACGACATCTAATTGCATTTCAACCCACTCCCCTACTGTGGCACTTTACTCCAAGACTCTGTGAAGTATGACAAAAAGCAATCAGCTTCCTGACTGTAAATACCTCAGATAAAGGCAAGGAATTAAAGACAGATGCTGTTGACTTGTCAAATATTAGAGACTTCAGATCTACAAACAACATGCACCTTTATCCCCAGTTGTGTGTTTTACTCCACAAGCAGCACAATTGATAACAATGTGTGTTTTCCTTGCTAGCTTTGTTCTTCGCTATTTTAACAGAGGATACTTTTTTTTTA